GCCGTAGTCGATCATGACGCTCCAAAATTTCATTTCTCTTTGTCAGTAAAAAATGCCCGGACACTTTCCCTCGAAATCCCAATTCTTCCATCTATTTATACAAATAAGCTCGTTGGGCATTTTAATCATGTTTTGAGTCTTATCCTAATCCATTCCAGAAGAGAATGCAATTGTTCTTAAAATAAGATTCCTTTTGTTTGGATTTATTATTAGGTCGTTCGGAAAATAATGTCGGATTTAAGAATCAAATTTTCTTCCTGAATGAATGTATTTAAACAACATTCATATAGGAACCAAGAACATCCATATATTTCTGCCACTGAGTGACGAGGTTATGACTTTATGATAAAACTCTAAAGTTTTAAACACCAAGAAATATTTGGACGCAGTTTCTGAATCTGTTTTACAAAATTACAACAGAATGTCTTTTGGCTTAAAAAAAATTGTCAAGATGCTTAAAAAGGGCCATTAAATGTATTTGTCAAGATGCTTTAAAAAGAGCCATTAAAAGAATTTGTCAAGATTCTTAAAAAGAGCCATTAAAAGAATTTGTGAAGATGCTTAAAAAGGGCCATTAAAAGTATTTGTCAAGATGCTTAAAAAGGGTCATTAAAAGAATTTGTCTAGATTCTTAAAAAGAGCCATTAAAAGAATTTGTCAAGATGCTTAAAAAGGGTCATTAAGATTATTTGTCAAGATGCTTAAAAAGGGTCATTAAGATTATTTGTCAAGATGCTTAAAAAGGGTCATTAAAAGAATTTGTGAAGATGCTTTTAAAAGGGCCATTAAAAGTATTTGTCAAGATGCTTAAAAAGGGTCATTAAAAGAATTTGTGAAGATGCTTAAAAAGGGCCATTAAAAGTATTTGTCAAGATGCTTAAAAAGGGTCATTAAAAGAATTTGTGAAGATGCTTAAAAAGGGCCATTAAAAGTATTTGTGAAGATGCTTAAAAAGGGTCATTAAAAGAATTTGTCAAGATGCTTGGTCAATGGGCGAGAGATCGTGTCCCAAGTTGGTGAACTACTGTAGCGTTCATCCCGTATGCGTAAGGCGCTGGATACTATATCCAGATCCCTTCTGAAGAGGAAGTAATGCCTGGAGGAAGATCCTCTGGAACTTGGGATTAAAATTATTTTAACTTAAAAAAGACAATACTTAATAAATAATGGACTAGAAAAAAAAATTGTCAATTTCAAATCTTTTCATTTGTACCCACTTCTTAAAATAACTACCAGCATTCATATTTGTGATATTTATTGAAATATTTTGTTAAAGTTGTTAAGATCAAATAGGAGAAAACGAGGGGGAAATTCTACGGATATTTTATCGTAGAACTCGCCATGAGCTTACTCAAGTATTAACTTAAGAATTAAAATTCATCAGAAAATTAAAATAGGTAAACCGTGAAATTTTAATGGGTCTTTCTAGCATATAGGGTGTCGAAAAAGAATGGCATAATTTAGAATGTGAATAACTAAGTAAATCCATATCCCTGGCAAAATAAATTAAATAAGATTCATGTTGAACGATAACATATTTATTTATCAAAATTCAAACAAGATATTCAAAGGGACGAAGATTTTATAACCGATTTCACAAAGCTTCATAAATGTTCAATATGCGCACCACACGACACACATTTGGTGGTCCAGCTGCTACCAAACACGCTGTAGCATGTCTTGCGTAACATTCTCCAGCGGCTCAGTGATTCTCTGCTTAAGTTTCTCTAGGCTTGTAGGAAGAGTGTGGCTATAAATCTGTCCTTTAACATAGATTCATAGAAAAACTCAGGTGTCAATTCAGGTGAACGTAGTGGCCATTCCAACAGAACAATGTCATTATCAATATCACGCTCGATCAATCTTCCTGGTAGATTCTCACTAAGTTCGCACGGTCAAATTAATTAGTTCTTACACATTTTGTTAAACTTTGAGATCATTTGAATGAGAATTGGCTATTTTATTAGACTACAAAATGATGTCAATTTTTGGGAACACCCTGTATATAAATATGTTATTACAATCAGGCTGACTGCCGCAGACTGGTGCCTATTCAGTTTATCTGCCGAGTCATTGTTGACCCGTCTACTATTTAATGGTTGACACAGTATTGGTGAGACGTCGAGAAATTTAAGATTATATAAATATAGGAGGGATATTTTACAAACCGATACATTCAATGCATTAGTCGTTCATAATAAAAAGCTTGACTATCATTCCGACTGAAAGAACGCAGTTCAGATAAAAAGAGTAAGAAATTTATTTAGGCAAACATATATTGAATGTGCACTTATATCAGTATCCGCTACAGTAAATTTACATCCAAGATTATAAAGCATATCTCCTTTGCTATTTTAATACTAACATTCACCCAACTGAGTGCTCGAGAACCACTCAAGTTAGAGGGTTATTTTTAAAAGGTTAATAATGAAATGAAGCGTGTGATAGGAATAAAAGAGAAGATGATAGGAGGATTTATTTTTTAATCAAAGTAAGGCGATAAAGTCACTAAGAAACAAGTGGTTACTGAATGTGAAGGAATTAGAAAAAAAGAAACATTATTAAGGAGTAAGAATAATAAAAGGATGGGTATCAACAAAACAGTAGATAACGATTGACATTGCATTAAATGTTTTGCAGATCAAAGTTGGTTAGAAATCATGAAACCGGAAGAGAGTTCCACAGGCGGGAAGTGCGATAAAATAAATTGTGAGAACAGAAATTACGGTTATATCTATCCATTTGAGACGGAAATTTGGCCTCGTGCCTCATTTAATCAACGCCTAGAAAACCACAATATAGGGTGTCTCATATGTATACATACTAACCACCATATAGGGTGTCTCATGTATATAGGGTGTCTCATATATGTACTAACCACAATATAGGGTGTCTCATATGTATACATACTAACCACCATATAGGGTGTCTCATATGTATACATACTAAACACCATATAGGGTGTCTCATATGTATACATACTAACCACCATATAGGGTGTCTCATATGTATACATACTAACCACCATATAGGGTGTCTCATATGTATACATACTAACCCTAACTCTGCAATACTCTATCGTGCCAACAATTAGAGGTCTTAAGATTATGAATTTAGGGTGATCCGAAAGTCTTGCTCCCCGTACTAATATAATTTTCTACTTCAGATGGCTGACACAAGCTTCTACAAATTGGATAAGAGGTAAGAGGTGAGAAGACTTTCCGACCACTCTGTAATATTGCGCTTAAATTCATAAAATACCGAATTTTATGGACACCCTGTGTATAATGAAAAATGCCTGAAGCATAATAAACAAAATAAACAGGCAAATGCGTTTTTGAGTAATCTTTGTTTAATTTTATATTCGTATTTTTCGTACGCAATATGTTTTGAAAATTATTGGTTATTATAATAAAGGCCTCAACCTCCCATTATTTAAAATTATAATAATCATAGCCAGGATGAGGAACGGAAAAGTGTTTCTATCAAAAGCAACTAAAAATTAAAAGAAATAATTATCAAAAATAAATAACTGTTGATACTGATACATGTAATAAAAAATCCCGATATTATTTATTATACCAGTGGAAATAACACATGATATACAAGTCAAATATTAAGAGCTGACAATAGTTCATCTAATATCATTCGACATGGTGTAATGATTAGAGGTTTTAAGATTATGAATTTTATTTTCAGCAAGATGGAGCACAACCACATTATCTGAATGAAATCTTGCCAAAAAGATGAACGGGAAGGCGAAGATCTGTAGAATGTCCTCTTCCTTCAGTGGACCTCGACTCTTAGACTTTTTTCTTGTAAGGATATTTAAAAGAAAATCTACGCTATAAAGTCAGAAATTTCCCATCGAGCAAGAATGCAGCCAAATGCCTATTGAAATATTTGATTGTTGCTTGTGATCCCATTGCGTCACGTTGGACAACCAAAAAATCCTTTTTCAATGTTAGTTTAAATTAAACAAAAGCTTAAAATGTTCACTTGTTTGTTGATAAACTACATTTTCTAATTAAATGTAAATGTTTCGCAAATATATTTTGATTAAAGTAAAAGTATTTTATTTTTTTTTAACCCTTTTGTATCTGGTCTTAAGATTTTGACGAGTTATATATATATATATATATATATATATATATATATATATATATATATATGATTTTCCTTTTGTATCTGGTCTTAAGATTTTGACCAGTTTGTGTGTGTGTATATATATATATATATATATATATATATATATATATATGATTTTTCCATTGACACCGCAATTTAATCTGTAATTCGTCAATGACTTGTGACTCCATGCTAGGACAATCAACAACACCCCCAACCCCCAGGGTTCAGTCTATACAATTTCACTCACATGCCCGTGGTATGGATTTTCAGGCATTTCCCAAAAGGTGCCGCATGCTAGGATCGACCCTTCCAGTCTAACATCAAGAAGTCACCTTCCTGGCAAATCGACCATAGTGAGATTCGAACCCGGGTCTAATGGTCAGAAAGCGAACGTGCCCTAGTCGTTTCTAGTTGCTTGAATTATTTCTTGAGAAAATACCATATATATATATATATATATATATAGACTGACGATTGCGTCTAGCATGAAACAGACTGTCGCCTCTAAGTGTTCTCTTTTATATTTATGCATGCTCTATCTCTGATATTGAGCACTTTATCCCATAAATATAACACACTTTTAAGACTAAGACTATATATTCTTATATATATATATATATATATATATATATATATATATATATATATATATATATAATTTGGTTAAATAGCACCGAAAAATTCCTTTGGTAATTAATTTTGCATTATTTTTTTCGACGTCCCTGTTCTTAGTTGTGTGTTCCCTACATCTGCGTACTTTCAGCTAACGATAGCCATTATCACGTGATAGTTATCGTCACGTGATAGTTATCGTCACGTGATAGTTATCGTCACGTGATATTAGAAAATTAAACCGACGAGGCTTACCGCCACATTGAAACATTGGTTCTCATACGATCAGCGAAGTTAATCAACGCCGAGCCTGGTCAGTCCCTAGATGGGTGACTGCTTGTGAATGCCAGGTGCTGTAAGGTTGGATGTGCGGGTGGTGTAATGCATAATGGCTCTGAATTGTTAATTGGAGGACCGAGTTCTAATTCCAGTTTGGTTCGTTATATTCATTCACAGATTTAAACTAAACAAATAAAATAATCACCACCACCCCAAAAGTAAAATAAACAAGAAATCTAAATAGACAAATTAAGTAAATAATAAACAAATTCACAAACTGCGAATGCACACATAAACACAAGTGTAATAAGGACAAAAACAAATAATTATGTAACCAATGTATATATATATATATATATATATATATGTATATAAATAAAAAGAAAGAACAGTAAGATATAAAATCCGGTGTTCTTATAGATATTTTATTTTTACAAAATAGTGCTCAATATATATATATGTAATAAGGACAAAAACAAATAATTGTGTAACCAATAATAAATAAAGAGTAAAACGTTAACAAACAGCATTATAAGAATATAAATATCATATAAAATATAATATCCAATATAAAAACATCATATAAATGTTATATATAAAGTCCAGTGTATGTGTGTTTGTGCGTGTGTTTGTCCAAGCAACTCCTCCGCTCCCACTGGTCCGATTTCAATGATTCAGAGCTCATTCAAAAGCCCTAGAAAAGTTAGGTGCAGGGAACGATTTTCATTGAGCTCAGATTCAGGGTTGCCAGATTATCCGAAGTTAAAAATATATATTAATATATTATATTAACCATTATCGTTGCTTTCATGGTTCAAAGGGAGTAATTTTCGTTTTATTATAGTTTAGCTTAAAAGCCGCCCTATCAGACTCTTTGTTTGGCCATCATCACAATAGTTAGGGGGGAGTAGATGCGATAAGCATCAATAAACTACAGAAGAACTCAAAATTGATCGCTGCATTGAATTATTGAATTAATACTTAAGCTTTTAAAAGTTGAACGATAATTCTTCTTCCGCCATTTAATTTAAAGACAATTTGATGTGCGTAGATCCTTATTTTCCGTACAAACAATTATTTTTATTTCATGGATGACAGAACATAGGACAATTGTATAATTTAATATAGTGTAAAAATGCGAAATAGAAATTAGAATTAGTTATACATTTAACATTTGAAAAGTTAGAGAAACATAATAGCTAATTAAATAAAACCTATATTATGGAATATAAGATATATTATATTTTATTGCATGAGCGAAGCGAATACACTATGTCGAACGAAGTGAAATATCTGGTTGAGCACCCCGCACACACTAACGCATGAGCGCAGCGAAATCAACTTGCTTGAGCAATGCTAATGTACTCACGAGCGACCGGTTAGTATCATATAAAACAACATAAAACAACATTATAAAATTTATAAAAATATTATTAATTTTATAAACAACATTATAAAACAACATTATATCATATAAAACAGTATTATAAAACAGCATTATATCATATAAAACAGTATTATAAAAACAGCATTATAAAATAGTTACAGATAACTAAGTTCTATGCTACGTTTTTTCTCTCGCACTTCTCGTTTGTGGAACTTTTTCGGCTTCTTACTTTCCACTCAAGTTTGATATTCAAAAAAATTAAATGTCTGTCGTTATCTTCTGTCTTAATTCCTGTTCTTTTATTTTCCTCTCTCCTGAATAATGTTTTCTTTTTCTCATATTCTCCCACACCCATTGCCTTCTTTGGGGTGAAATGATTTTAAAAAAACATTCTAGTCTAGCAGAGTATTATTACAAAAGAGAAGCCAGATGCAGTGTGGCACCTGGATTGTAAGCGGTTGAAAGGATTGTATTACAGGGAATTATATAAACCCCCATCCCAAAGAATAGTGGAGGGTATCTCAAACACCGCAGATGAGAATGTAAGGTACACGTTTCGCTATTTGTTTATATCTCTGAGATGAGGTATTATAATTACTTACATTATTTACATTATTCGGACTGTTATTCTCATCTTCATTGCCATTTTAACAACATTTCGGCCGTTGTACGCTCCAGCTTTCTTCAGGTGATTGGAATTTTGAAATGAACCCTTTATTTCGTTCTATCACAGTTTGTCGTGGCTGCTGTCTTGTTGCTACATTGTAGGGTACTGCTTATACTGACCATTTCTTGTTTATATGTCTCTAAATCTCTACTTATGACTTTTGCTCAATGTTGTAAGCAGCGGACAACACCTTTATAGGATAGAAGGGTACAAGAGGATAACAACAGCCAGAAAACAGCTTATGTGAAGGGATTATCGGAGAAAAAACAAAAGATCTGTAATCCATATAACATCAGGACGACATTCAAAAATGGTTCAACACTTCGCAAACACCTCTTCCAAGTAAGACCCCCCCCACCATAGAGGAAAACATAACTGCGGTTGCAGTTGTGGTAAGAAATATAAAGGAGAAACAGGTCGCCTCCTTAAGGTAAGTCTGCAAGAACATCGAAAAGCGGTAATACGAGGGGAAATAGAAAAATCAGATGTAGGAAAAAGGGAGATCACTGCACCCCCCGTGGGATAAGGTTGAAATAACAGACAGAGAACATCTCTGAAAAAAAAACGAAAACTTAAGGAATCAGCACATATTCTAGGCCACAAAAATCTCCTGAGCCGACCAAGCATAGAAATGAATACAATATGCGAACCAGTAATAAGGAGTGCCAGAGAAAAGCATGAATAACAACAAAAAATTGAAATATAAGCTCTCGTAAAAAATATACAATAATAATAATGGAAAAATTGCAATATGAGCACTGGTAAAAAATGATGCTGAGACATTAGGTTTATAAGTCCCAAAAATTCATACACAGATGTCCTCAAGGACACATGTTCAGCGGATAAAGGCGTTGTTTAGATCCAGTAACTAGACCCAAAGAGTTATGAGTTCAATACCAGGCTACAGCATTAGTGAACCAAAATTAGGAGAGTTGAGATAAAGGGAAATAACTGAGACATCCTGAAGATGCATAGCACGTGGAACTAGAACAGTCTGCCCCAGCGCATGGAATAAAGGGTTTGGTTTGAAATTCCAATAATCCGAAGAAGGCAGGAGCATACAACGACCGAAACGTTGTGAATATGGCAATGAGGATAACAGTTCGAATAATAAGTAAAAAATATTCAATTTCTTTTTTTTTTTTAAATTAATGTCGATTGTTTATTTATGTTGTGGCCTGTTAGAGGCCAGAAAGAAAAACACGTAAAGAAGAAGGTAGGTTGAACAAGTGCATTGAAATAACAGAACATATATACAAAATAAGAGTGTTATTAGTCAGCAGATAGAAGTGTCCATTCGAACTATCAGGTTACACTGCGTCCCCACTGCCTCTCTTAGGAAGTCTCGCAGGTTAGTATTTATGAAAGAGGAAGAGTTCATTCTAATGGAGATAGGTCACCATAACAATTTATTAAGTCATCATGATGGTGACAGACGTTCAAAAGTCCCTTGGTTCACCACCGCTGCGGCCTGGTATCGAACTCACAACTCTTTGGGTCTAGTCACTGGATCTAACCAACGTTCTCAAAGACACGTGCCCAGTGGATAAAAGCGTTAGATCCAGAAACTAGACCCAAAGAGTTGTGAGTTCAATACCAGGCTACAGCAGTGGTAAACCAGAACTAAGAGATTTGAGTTAAAGGGAAATAAAGGGTTCGAATTCCAATCACCTGAAGAAGGCCTGAACTGAGACACCCGGAAAAAGCATGAAATTAACGAAATTTGGCGTTGAAACATGTCGATTATTATTAATTTCCGAGCGCACTTTTCGGCCAGGGCGGTGAACAACACCCTATTACAGATGACGGTTCAGCACACAGAACGCACCTGTGGTTTATACGGCAACTGAGGGTCAATTGCTTTTTTTTTTAACAAGATCAGTATGCTGAAACCCTCGGTCACGATGACTTGTAACTTCGTGCTAGCGCAACCACCAACCGCTTCCGAAGAGTTCAATCTGCCCAATTTCACCCAAAATTCTTGAGTCAACCCGGTGTATGGTTTTCAGGCACGTTCCAAAGCTGCTGCACGCCTACTTTCCCAGGCCGATAACATCAAGAAGTCACTTCTTTGACAAATCAACGATGGGGAAATTCAGTCCTAGACCCTATGGTTGGAAAGCGAACGTTCTAATCACTGATCCTCGCACGTATATGAGTGTAGTAAGCAAATATAAACTGTACAAATATATTTACACACACACACACACACACACACACACACACACATATATATATATATATTCGTTAAAGCGAACCGTGTTCTCTCAGTTACTGTGTTTATCTAAAAATAAATACGCTAAAACTCACCATCGTCCCTGCGCCGACAGCTTAGTGGTAGAATCTCCGATTGACACCAATTCAACCGGATTTCGATCCTAGCTAGAGGCAACCGGACGTCTAGCCACACAGAAGAAGCTGTGAAAAACAGTCTGACTATATATATATATATATATATATATATATATATAAAAAAAAGGCTTAAACACTAATATTCCATGGTCATGATTTATTCCATCGGAATCGTAATTTACGATTCCAATGGAATAAATTATGATCATGGAATATTAGTGTTTAAGCCTTTTTATTATATCCTTACTCTGTCCTGGACATTGAGTTCTACCTGAATTCTATCCTCTTGGAATTTTTTATTCAAAAAATATATATGTATGTTTATGCATGTATGTATATATATTTATATATTTTGCATATGTATGTGTATATTTACCACTAACATTATATATATATATATATATATATATATATATATATGAATAAGCGTAATTTAAAAAGCATTTAATGCAAATTCTATTAGCTAAAAAAAACGACCGGTTTCGCCCAGTCTTATCAAGTTTATTTATGGGAATTAAATAAGAAACGTGTAAAGTAAATAGCGGATGACTAATGGGGGAAGGAAGGAAAACTAGAGCCCAATAACATTCAGACCCAGCAAACAATCCTTTTGTTTACAGAGGGAAGTCTTGCGGGGATCTGATATATAGGGACCCAGAAACTTGAAATGATAT